CTGTCATGTAAATAAAAGTATTTCATAAATTATACAAATTGTGTAAGAGTGAAAGGTAGCATTGGTATTTTAGCATCCACCTCCAAATAGAGCTATCCATCATACGCACAGCAAGTGCCTTTGGCTGCCCTTCAGATTCAACAGTTGGTCACCTTTGAGAGGCCACAGCTTTTCTCTGAGGCTCAGCTTTCTCTCCTGTAAAATGAAGAGAGAGGATGAAATTGCCATCAGCATTCCATTGAGTCCTCCATTCTGAGCAGTGAGGAAATTCTGACTCTTTTCATCACCAGTGACAAGTTCTTACAGGACTCACAGGCACCCTTTTCTTCTTGGCTGCTGGACCCTCCATCCATACATCTTTAAGGTGCGGGGGAGGGGGCTCCTTGTAGTACATGAGCCCTTCCTTTTGTCTACAGCAGCTTTTGTTGAGAGAACAGGACATGCATTGATCTCACCTGGTCTCAGCCCCTAGGCAGCCAGTTCAGAGACCTACCATGCCACTGAGTTTCATTGAGAAAAGTGCTTTGTAAACAGTGAAGTCTGAGATGCCCATTTCTATCTCAAATGAGAATGAGGGTTGTTCCTTTATAGGAGAATATATCCTTCATTAGAGAGGCCTTTTAAAAAAACATCTGTACTTCTGTCCATGGTGGACAGTAGAACCCTCAGCCGTCTTGTCACCCGCAGCTGGTGCCAGGATTGCTGCCTGCTCACCTCGGCTCTTCTCCAGGGAGCCTGAGCCACATCAACACTATCTGTGGTATTTATTTCTGCCTCTTTCAGTCACAGTAAAAATAGAGAAACAGGAAAAGGAAGCAAACTTCTTTCATCTACTCTCTTCTTTCTTCCTTTTTTAACTGTATAAATTTAAGGAGTACAGCATGAAGATTTGATAAATGTATCCATGAAATGTATCGGTGAAATAATTGCTGTAGGTAAGCCGTTTCACATAACTCTCAAATCCCATATTCACCTCCTATTATGACCATTTTTTTGGAGGGGGTTCACCAAGGACTGAACTTAGGGGCACTAAACTGCTGAGCCACATCCTCAGCCCTTTGGTTGTATTTTATTTTGAGACAGGATCTCACTGAGTTGCTTAGTGATCCACTGGGCATGCACCACCACGCCCAGCTATTTTTACCTTTTTTTAAGTAATAGCACCTGAAATCTGTTCTCTCTGTAAATTTTTAATCTACAACACAATAAGATAGTCCTCTTGCTGTACATTGTATCCCTATACTCATCCCACATAACTGCAGGTTTGTGCCTTAAACCTAGCCCTCGTGTCCCTCATAACCATCATGCTATTATCTGTTTCTATGGGTTTGACTTTCTTTTGAGATTTCACAGATAAATGAGATAAATCATGCACTATTTGTCTTTCTGTGTCTGGCACTATTTGTCTTTCTGAGGCCCTAAGTAACTTAGCAAGACCCTGTCTCAAAATAAAAAGGGATGGAGATATGGTTCAATGGTTAAGTGCCTCTGGAGTCAATCCCTGGAACAAAATAATAATAATAATAAGAAGAAGAAGAAGAAGAAGTCCAGAGATAACTGGAGGAAAGGAAAATTTTGTACACTGTTGGTGAGAATGTAAACTAGTGCAATCATTATGGAAAGCAGTATGGAGAGTCCTAAAAAAAAAAATGTTTTCCAACCAAAAATTCAACAAAGTTTACACCATCCTAACATATTTCCCCAATAGATTTTCACAGTTCACATGGAATTTCCCTATTGATCTTTCTTTAAGCTAACAATTAAATGAAAATCTGTTGTCCGAGAGAGGTAGTACATTAAAGTATAATTGCCCAAAAACTTGGTTCTCATCCCTGAGTTCTTCTTCATGCCCAGCTGTTCCCCTTTCAATTTTATCAAAATAAGATCCACAAGTTTTCTTTCTACGTAGCCCCCAAACCATTCATCCCCTACCCCCACCACCTCCCTCCAGGCTAGAGAACAAAATCTAGAACCAAACTCCTTGAATCTGAATTTTATCCCTGCCCCTCTCCAGCTGCATCCTCTTGTGCAGGTTAATTTTGTGAGGCATCTGCAGATGTCACACTGATCCTCTCCTACCCCAGTGTTACCTTATGGGCTTCCCTAGGCAGATGGCCTCAGCTGTAGACAAGCATTCAGTGGAAAGTAAGACCTTTAGGCACAGCCATTTGGCACTGTGACAGTCTCAGCTCTTGCTGCTGATGGGCAAGTACAGTGCCCTCCCTCATGGTTAAGAGCTAGGGCATTGGTGATTGTTACAGACCCAATGTTTATGTCCTCCAAAATTTATATGTTGAAGCCTTCACCTCCCATTTTGCTCTATTTGGAGATAGAACCTGTGAGGGAAGTGACAAAGTGAATGGAATCATAGGGTGGAGCTCCAATCCAATAGATCTGGTTCCCTTATGAGAAGAGGAAGGGACACCAGAGCCAGCTCTGGGCACACACACCTCCCTCCCCAGGAAAGGCCATGCAAGGACATAACTAGAAGGTGAGTATCTACAAGCCAGGAAGAGAGCTGACCTCAGAAACTGAATCAACCAGGACCTTAATCTTCAACTTCCACTTTTAGAATTGTGAGAAATAAATTGCTATTGTTTAAGCCACCCATGGGGTTTTGTTATGATGGACTGAGCAGACTGATACAGTGGCCATTTAAGCAGGGTTTTTAATGTCTCTGAGCAAAGCCTCATTTCCTGAACTGTGGAATATTTTTATCTGCATTTATTTTATAAGTTCTGTATTTTCCCTCTGCCCCCACTACTGTCCTTCTCAGATGCATTTATTAAAAAAAAAAAATTGGCACAGATTTAGTATAGGGAAGCGTTGGATTTCCAATAAAACTTGTCAGTAGGAAGCCCAGCCTACAGTCATCTCTCTTGTATTGATTTATTTTTGCAGATAATTTCCAATTATTGGCGGGGAGAGGGATGGGGAAAAAGCTATAAGTGAATGAAGAAAGAAAAATCTTAAATCATCCTCAACATTCTCCAAGGGTTGTTCTCCAGAGAATCATCTGCCATCACACCCTGCCACCTGCCACCTCTGCTTCCTGAACATCTTCTACCATAGCCATGGCTGCAATTCTGACCATCCTTCCCCTCCTTCTCTCTCTCCCTCCCCCTCCCCTTCCTCTGCCCCCTTGGTGATGCTGTCTGCAGCACCCTCACAGGTCTCTATGCCTCAGGTCTTTCCTCCTAATCCACTTCCACTGCAGCCATTGCAGTCCTCAGACGTTCCACTGTTGGTCTCATTTCTATGCTTCAAACCCTGCCCTGACTCCCCAGTGCTCTTCCAAGAAACCCAAAGCCCCTTAGGGTCTCCCCACTCTCAGACTTACCTTCTCTGATCCAGCAGCACTGAGTTTCTTTCAGACCCTCAGAAGCCCCTTTCTCTAGGTCACTTTCTCTAGGTCCTCTGCTTCAGGCATTGTGCTGCCTCTCACCCTGGAGCTTATTTACTTCTCCTTATCCCTCATCTCAGCTCTGCTGTGACTGTTCTGGAAGTCTCCCCTGATCCCCATTGTGGGATGAGCCTCAGCTCACCTGCTGTTGCAAGCCATTCTGTCATCACCCGCATTTCCTGATTCCCCAGTTTTCTCACCCCAGTAAGCTCCCGAGGGCAGGGACTCTGGCCACCTTCTGTCTCTAGTATCCAATTGGTGACAGTGTGTGGCACTGAATGGGCTTTAAATTAGATATTAAACAACTGTGCCAGGCTGGGGTTGTGGCTCAGTGGTAGAGCACTTGCCTAGCATGTGTGAGACTCTGGGTTCAATTCTCAGCACGATATAAAAATAAATGAGTAAAATAAAGATTCATCAACGTGTAAAAAAATGTTTAAAAAAAAAAAAAAGCAACTGTGCCATTTACCGCAGTTCAAAGAAATGCTTGCAGACTAATTTGATTATACCATCAGACCTCTGGAATGTGTCCCTTTTCAATGATTCTGCTTGGGCCTACATTTACTTTTAACTTTTCCTTTCATTCGCTCCAGCCCATACATAACCAGGAATGTGATAATTATCTCAAATAAGCTCAAATTTACTACCCACTATCGGTGAGCAATGAAGGGCCTCTCTGAGTCCCTGGGCACACTCCTGGGTCTGAAAAGGGTTTTCCTTGCAAAGTGGCCCTCCTAGTGCCCGGGGGGAAGCGGTGGCTTTGTGGACTTGCTGAGAGATGGGAGATACCCTTTCCTGCTAGCCTGGATTCCAGCATCAAAGGGAACTGGAATGGTGGGAAAGAAGAAAGGGGAAGAGGCAGAGAACAAAGGGAACCACCTGTTAGATCTCACCTCACCTCCTAAAGAGGAGGTAGTAGTTATGGGCTGTTGATACTCATTTTATGAAATCCATTTAATCTTTTCTTCCTTTGGTTCTTCAGTGTGTGCATGGAGCACTTAGGCATTTTCCATTGAGTTCCTGTGAATAAAAACACTGGTCCCTGAGGTAGACAGGAGAGGAAGAATGGATTTGCCCCGTATGTGAATTTGCACTGGAAGGATCTATCTGTGCTTTCCGTCATCCTCTGCAGAGTTTCCCTTTACAGCAGCCCTGGGAGTACCACGTTTGCCCACTGCACCCTAGTTAGGACACTGGCGTGATAATACAAGGTTACCTTTTGCCCTAATGTGCCCTCAGGTCTGTCATTGGGCCCTGCTGTGCTCCCAAAAGAAAGCCCAAGGAGACATGGCAGGGCTTGCCCAGGCCTCAGGTGTGTCTCTAGAAAGTAGAAAGGTTCTATGTTTACCTGCCGAGGACATTGTACTGGTGCCCAGTTAGCAGCTTTGTTCACTTGTGCACAACTTTTGTCTTTCCTAGAAAATAATATTGAGTAAATCATACAATTCACAAATTTTGGAAAAGCCTTATTTGAGGTGAATCCAACAAATGTTTCAGATACACACATTCATAAAACCATGAGTAAAATATGAAGGAATATCATAACAGTATTCTCTGTTGCTCTTAAAATAATTTTTTTTTAATGTATCTGTTTTAGATCTGGAGTTCAGACTCTGCCCCACAATGCCAAGGTTCATTACAACTACGCCAACTTCCTGAAGGACCAAGGTCGGAACAGGGAAGCCATCTACCACTACAGAACAGCCCTCAAGTAAGCGCCTTGCAGGGAGGGCACTGCTATTGTGCTGTAAAGATCCTGGTTTATTTCACTCATGCCCTCCCGTACACGAGTGGTCATGGGTTTCTATTGAGGGTGATCGTATCCTTGGAGGGAGGATATTTCTTGGACTAGGAGTCTTTTGGCTCACTATTCAGTGCTGTTGTTAAGTGTGGTAACTCTGCCTTGTTTCTCACTCAATGTTTTTTTTGTTTGTTTGTTTGTTTTGTAAGTTTTTATTGCTGCCCCTTATTCAGTGAAGTAACACTCCATTGAATACATTTGTGCAAACAGGAGTTGGTTATTAAAAATGTATACTGGTCACTTTATAGGATATGTATGCCAGTGAATTCTCAATTGCATGTATATAGGAAGATACTTGAGTATAGAAATGAAACACTCTGGTGGATATATTAAATCAAAAACAATGAGAAAATACTTGATCACCATGTTGGGAATATGTTAATTGTGTGTCTGTGTATGGTGTGTATGTGTGTATTCTCTAACACTGTTCTTGTGTTTTCCATTGGAAGAAAGAATACCTTTGATATGATTTTAAGGGAAAAGTAAAACTTTTAAGTTTTTTTGTAACCAGCAGTAGTCTGTGGGTACTCAGTGGAACTGAAACTCTGACTTTATGGATGGTTTTCTCTAAAAGTTCCCAGATAATAAATGTATTTAACTTGTAACATGTGGAGACATGATGTTATAGTTTGGATCTGGAATGTCTCCCAAAGGCTTCTGTGCTAAAGGCTTAGTCCCCAGCCTGTGGTGCTCTGGAATACATGCCCTTAAAGGAAGCAGTGACACCCAGCCCCTTCCTCTTTCACTTCTTCACCAGCGATAAGCTGAATAGTTTACTCCATTCTCTTTCCGGTCATGATGCTTTGCCTCCCCACAGGCCCATAGCAATGGCGCCAACCAGTGGTGGACCAAAACCTCCAAAATTGTGTGCCAAAATAAACCTTTTGTCTTTATAAGGTGATTATTCAGGTATTTTGGTCATTGTAAAATACATGATAATTAAACATAGCCTTGGAATCATCAGTTGTTAAATAGAGCAAGGCAAATCCTTTCTTATTGAACACTACTGATGCTCACAGAAACCTCTAGAAGAGAGATTGATTCACATTTTGTTAAATTTTCTGAGACTGTTCCACTTTGAGACGTGATTAAAATTCATATGCCAAGCAAATCATACTAAAGTGCCTACCTGAATTGTCTCAGGGCTTAGTTTGAAATCATTATTATATTCTACACAAGCATATTGTTTATCAATCAAAAACTTTTGGGCTTTAGGACCTGCTTACTTAATATTCAATATAGCAAAAGTTTTAAATCATATATATCAAGATTGTGATCGAATACTTTTTCAAATATTACAACAAACGTGAGACCCAGAGCAATAATCGTAACCAAGCTTTTTTGGTGAAGAATACTACTTATTCATTATGGACTAGAAGGTAATCTATAAGATTTAATAAAAAATTGCATTTGTTCACTGGAAGACAGTTTTCAAAATGTTTGCAATTCTTATTTCTGTTGGTTAGATTATGGTTTGTGTTTTTGCCTTTATATTTTCTTGTGTGTTCCAGATGTTTCACAGTGAACATGTATTGCATGGATTATGACCTTCATAATTAATTAATGTGTAATGATTTTCGGTGGTATTCTTGAAGGGAGGAAAAGAACAACAAGTTGTCTAAAAAATACTGATTGGAAAAAAAATGTATCAGTCTCATAAATTTGTTTCATTATAACAGACGATTTCCTATCAAATTCAAATAGAAAAATAAGGTAGGCCCTGAGGCACAGTGTGAGCAAAGGTGTAAATTAAACAAAATTCTCTGGCAGTTGATTTTATTGAATTATAGTAGCTGGGTGGGTACTTCTGCTTCTTTCCTGTGAAACAATAAAAATAAATGTTTGTTCCAGCAATGTGCTTCTGGAAGAAATATATCCCTTGAGAAATGGGGAAAAACAATTAAAGCTATAAATGTACTGTCTAGTAATTAGTGAATTATTTAATGTTCTCAGACCAGATCCAAAATACTTATGATTAAAAATATCATTGTTTTTATGTGATTACCACTGGGATAAATATTCAGCAGAGGTGGATAGTTTTTCTTTTCTTTTTAAATAAATTTCCACTCTTCATGTTAGAAAGTAAAGGAAAAGTACCAGGACTGTCCATCATTTTGATGATGATTTATCCTTAGAGATTGGAAGATTGCCCTTATTTTCATAATGCTGTTTCTTTGTGGACGTTGCTGAGTCAGGAATTCTTCTCCCTCCCAACTGCTCCACCCCTACACTTTATTTTTGTGTATCCAATGTTTTGTTTATTTCTTCACTGTAAGAAAGAGAGTGATTAGGGAAGTTCTAGGTTAAAGGTGAAATGCCCTGAAATCAGTTCCAGCAATTATCTATGACTGTTGAAATGACTATGCAGAGCCCAAAGGCAATGGTGAAATGAGCCATCAGGGTTGTATCTATAGAGATCTCTTTCTGGCTGACTTACCATTCTAAAAATAACACTGTATTAAGTTGGTAATTATATACAACATAACTATTCTGGTTCTTTTAAACTGTATGTTTAAATAATGGAGTACTACTACTGACTTCTCTCTCAGTATATTTCATTTATTTTTTTTCAGTTGTGCTAGAATAAATCTCCCCTGGAAAATGCTGCAGCCAAGATTATATATTCAGGTTAAGACCCAAATCATGAAAAAAGAGAATGAGAGGTCAGAACCCTTTCTTGAAATCCTCAACAAACGTTAGTGTTAGCTTTGCTTTGCTATGAGGAGTAGCTCTCTGTGTAGACCTATTATAGTACTATAAAGCTTTGGATTCTCTGTATAGGAGAATTAGACCACTACTAACATATTTGTCATCTGGCTCCAAAGCTTTCTGACCACTCAGTTACTGTGGAGAAGTTCCTGCCATTTCACCCCATGTGATGGGAATAAAAAGTCCAGAGACTGCCCAACAATTCAGCTCTTTATGCACAAGATCTCCCAAGAAATGTCTCATCCAATAGACCCTAAAGGAGAAACATTAACCTGGCTTAAGTAAAATGCAGAAGTTATTGAATGTGTACTTAACCATGTATGTACATTATTGATTAGCTCAAAAATTCAGTTAAAAGTGGAGAATCCTGAAGCAAATTATGCACAATATTGAACATTTTATTTTATCCTGAAATTTCCAATGTATCTTCACTTATGGATCTTCTGTTGTCAAACCAAGTCCTTTTCTTGGAGTAAGAAACTACTGATTAAAATCTGCAAAAATCACGTCCATAGTCCATTGCTATAATTGCCGGTTTTGTCAGTTTAAAGACTAATAAAAAATTAAGGATACTTGCTGGGTATGGTAGCCTGTACTTGTAATCCCAGATACCTGAGGCAGAGGTTCACAAGTTTAAGGCCAGCCTGAGCAATTTAGCAAGACATCCCAAAATATAAAATAAAAACTACTGAGGAGGTAGATCAGTGTTAGAGCACTTGCCGAGCATAGGTAAGGCCCTGGGTTTAATCTCTAGTGCTGCAAGTTAAACATACTTAATTTGCAAAGTTAATTTGAGTAGACTATCTCAGAATTTTTAGAGTTTTGTTCTTCAGTCCTTTACAGTTCTCACATCGAAGACAACAGTATTTTGAACAACTTTTTTTTTAGTATATATTTACTTATTTTATGTGGAAATACACCTCTTTTTTCCCACATATTTTGTCTGCTTGCAAAATATTTCATTGCAGTGAACACTACAACTGAAAAAAAAGTTAAACGCAACTGACTTTTTAAGTCATTAACTCCATACATGGGAGCTGAAGGCCCAGACTCTCAGAGAAAGTTTGCAAAGTTGTAAATATCCACTTATATATTTTAGGGAATAGAGAACATCTGGAAATCTGATGACACAATTAACACACTGTTCTCGGAGTTTTTACTATAGGTGACAGAGTCATGTAATCTGTTTTTCATCAACCATTTCATTTCCCTGCATGATTCAATTACTGGTTGGTTAAAATAGGTTGGTTATCAAGAACCCAGGGATGGAGAATAAAGTTTGCCTTTGTCCAACACATCAGAAAGTCCTGTCCACGGTCCGCAGGAAACTGTCACATGTTCCACAGAACATTTGCTCACTCAAATGCCCTCTCCCCCCTACCCCAGTTCAGTAAGCCCCTGCCACACCCAGGTTTGCTGATGTATCCCAGGTGGGTGAGCAGCAGATGTGCAGTATTGTAGTCTCATAAAAGGGCTGTGATTCTCAGTCACCCAGGCAGCAGTGAAATTCTTTTCACAAGAATGTTTTCAATGTGAAATATACAATTAAGATTTCACTGGCACCACCACCCCAGAAATGCTGTTGGGGATACATTACCTATCCTAACGGTGGCTTGGGTGTGCTGGAGCAACCATGGGACCACTAGAGTGTTGCCTTGTCCATACCTAAGCAGTTATCGTATCCATAACTGATGTTTTAAACAAAAAATCCAAAAGCCAAGAAAGAACTGTTTCCAAAGGTGTTCAAAGTTCTGACCAGAGTATCTTCCATTGGCATAGCTAAAATTTTTAAATTATTGTTCCCTTTCTTATTTTTATTTTTGATATTTCATTGGCACATTACAATTATATGTAATGGTGAGATTTGTTGTTACATATTCATTCATATGGCGGCAGAACTAAATTTTCTTTTGTGCTCTTAATGCTTCTGTACAAAAGAAATCTCCACTCACTATTTGATTGGCTGACACATGGGAAAGGATAAAACTAAAATCTTTCTGACTAGAATGTGTTTAAGTGTATAAAATAGAGACTTGTCATGCTAATAGTGCTTATTGATCTAATTCTTTTGTATTCTTTCCTGGATGGATAACTGGAATTCTACAAGGAGATTCCATTAGACTAAGATAAGTGTGTGTGGAAACTGGAAATAATAAAGGAATGAGTATTGAAAAATGCCATTATCATTAGGGTCTAAAGAG